GGAAGTAACGTGTGCGTAACATTTTCCGTCTGTCGTGGAAAGCTGTAACTAGTGAAAAGTTGTTGACATAGTAAGCAGTAGGCACACTTTACGCAAGAGGACAGGGAGCCGTCGAGAACTGCAATTCGGATTAAGTTTACTTTTGTCTTCACGCTCTGATGAGCACAAAAACCACTGTCCACCTGCCTTCCCGTCCTGTTCCTGCGTAAAGTGCCAAAGATCAGTTGTGCTGCTGATACCTTAATTTCATTTATTTATGGATTATAACACAATGATTAACCCAATAAATTATATGCCATTCAAAAGATAATTATAGAATATAATTACAGTAATTTAAAAATAATAATAATAATATTTTGCAACTTAGTCTGAGGTTTGTTAAAACATGGTGCATATTTTAAAAACCAATACAGTTAAGTGCTCAAATCAGATTTATACCTTCATGCATATTATTTATAATACACATTTTTCCTTCATAAATATGGCTAAAAAAAGACATTTTAATTTTTAACTGCTAGAGGAATAGGAATTTTAACTATTTGTCATTAATAATATTATATTAGTGTGACTACTACAGTATTATGTATAAATGAAGAACTAAGATTGATTAAATATTGCTGAAAACATGATATTTTCCACTTCTGTCCACTAGAGGGCAATGTTGATGCGAGTCCTCATCTATAAATATTCGCTATGTGTACGAAGTTTTATCCTTTTATCACAAAATGTACAATTTTTTTTACATAACTCCTGCACTAGAAATGATACACAAACAGGTCACAGCCAAGGATTTCTCAGCGGTTTTATCATCCTGACACCATACTGTTTAAAATTAGCTTGGGGCCAACCAAATTTTTGCCTCAAATCCAAGATGGCCGCCAAAATCCAAAATGGCCGCCAAAATTACTATCATTAGAGATATACAACATATTTATTCGGTGTTGTCAACTTTTTTGAAGTGGAATTGTCACCTCAGACCTAAGCCTTACAAGATCAATTAAGGGTCACCAAGAATTTTGCCTCAAATCCAAGATGGCACCAAAAATTCAAAATGGCTGCCAAAAATCACAATTATTTGAAAAAATGTAGCATATTATTCGGTATGTCAATGTTTTTTCAGTTGATTTGTCACCTGGTACATAAACCATTCAAGATCAATCTAGGGCCACCCAGAAATTGGCCTCAAATCCAAAATAGTCGCCAAAATTCAAAATGGCCACAAAAAATACAATAATTCCAGATTTGCAGCTTATTATTTGGTTTCAAATGTCAATGTTTTATCAGTAGATTTGTCATCTGGGTATCTAAAAGTCTTGAGATAGGAGGGGATGATGGTGGGGGGGGGGCTCGATTAACGTTTTTAAGTGCATTTTTCCTGAAACGTACCTTTGAAGTTAACTTTAAGGTCACCAAAAAGTTGACTTCATATCCAAGATGGCCGACAAAATTTTTAAAATGGCGACAAAATTACCTAATAAAGATGTATACTGCCTGCAATTTTGTTTCAATGGATTTGTCATCTAGAACCTATACCTGTCAAAATAAATTAGAGCCACCCAAAATAAGGCCAATCCAATATGGCCACCAAAATCCAAAATTAAAATTAATATACTTATTATAACTTTTTTTCTGTCAGTGGCCCAGTTAGTTCTGGCATCTGTATGAACATCAGAATGTTGCAGTTTCAAATTCCGCTTGGAGAAACTTTAGGAAAATCCACTTAACATGTTTTTGCTTATTTGCTATTTATCATGTTGAAGGGGGTTTAATCTAAGCGGTTCCTTTATTCTATGTCATTGTTTATTTCCATTTTTGTTATTACCGACTGAGATCTGTATTCCCACACCTGTCTCTTATACACATCTAGATGTGTATAAGAGACAGGTCTTCTTCAGCATGTGTGACAAACAAAATATAAGTTGGCTATTACAATAATTATGATAAAAAGTAAAGTATTCTATTCTATTGTAGATACATCGATGATATTTTTATGATTTGGCAACACGGAGTTCAAAACCTTGAGCGCTTCAAGAGTCACGCTAACAACTTTCACCCACACATTAAATTCACTATGGAGCAGTCCCAATCTTCTCTCCCCTTTTTAGATGTTTTAGTTTCTCTTTCTAACCACTGCTCCCTTTACACTAAACCTACTGACAGCCATCCTTTTCTCAATTTCGACAGTGTCCATCCTCTTCGCCTAAAATCATCTATTGCCTACAGTCAATTTTTACGCATAAAGAGGATTTGTTCTGAGCCAGATGACTACACTTTTCATTGTAATAAACTTCTTGGTTACCTCCTTAACCATGGATACCCCTTCAGCCTAGTTAAATCACAGTTTACTAGAGCTTCCCTCCGTTCCCGACAGGATCTTCTCTCTCCGACCACTAAATCTGACTCCCAACGCATCCCACTGGTCATGGACTTCCATACTAACACTCACCCCTTATCCAAAAACATCTGTGATGACTACACCCAACTTAAGGCAAATGCCTTAATACTAATCCTCTCATCAAACTCCCCCATTCTAACCTCCCTATACGCCCCCCCTCCATTAACCTGCGATGCATCCAACGTGGTATATCTCATCACTTGCGACATTTGCGACAAAGGATCGTACATTGGTGAGACTGGCACCAAATTCAGACTCAGATTCAACAACCACAAACAATCCATCCGCAATCACAGTAAGGGTTTCCCTGTAGCCGACCACTTCAACTCCCCCGGCCATTCTATAAATAACATGCGCTGTACTCTCATTGCCAGTAATTTCCCATCCCTTAATAAAAGGCGCATATCTGAACTCAGACACATAATCAAACACAAAACCCACATATTCGAACTTAACAAGGACCTCGGTATGATCAGTGACTATAATTTTCCTTATTCTTAATCCTTTTTAGTAATTCATATGACTATTATCATTATCATTATCATTATCATTATTATTATTATCATTATTATTATTATTACTATTATTATTATTATTACTATTATTTTCATTATTATTATATTACCTATATTATTTTTTTATTTTAACGCATAGACCCATTGACTTATATATTTTCCAGCACATCTGTATTTTTTTTGATTGCCTATTTTTGTTTAGTATGCCATTTTATTCAGTATATAGTTCAGTATAGTATATATATATATATATATATATATATTTATATGTATTTCTGTATTTCTCTTTATCAAATAAGAGTTTTGTATTTCCGCCTTTCTGGTTCTTTGTTATTTGGCTGCTTGTTAACATGTTTTTGCTTATTTGCTATTTATCATGTTGAAGGGGGTTTAATCTAAGCGGTTCCTTTATTCTATGTCACTGTTTATTTCCATCTTTGTTATTGCCGACTGAGATCTGTATTCCCACACTGATATTAGCTTCAGTATTATTACAGTGACTAATTAATTTATCTGTTAATTATTTCTATTGTTACTCCGCCCCTTAGTTTTTTTTGTCCAATCATCATGTTCATTATATTCTATTAAAATGTCGACCAATCATATTATACTTTACTTTTTACCATAATTATTGTAATAGCCAACTTATATTTTGTTTGTCACACATGCTGAAGAAGACCTGAGGACGGGTTGAAATATTCATGTTTTGAATAAAATTTGTGTTCTAAGTTCACCAAGTCGTTGACATCTCATCGTCTTTTTCATAGAGTTATGTATCTAAGGAACATTATGGATTACATCATGCTCTATATGTAAGTATATATGTATATAATGTTCGCTGCTTAGACAGCAGGTCCCGGGTTCAAATCCTAGTCAGGGCACCTATTTTTTTTTTTTTTTATATTTAGTTTTCTGCAAAATGGTTTGTAATTTATCAATCTCCATTATATCATGATTTTTATATGTGTATATATATATATATATATATATATATATATATATATATATATATATACACACTTTTTTTTC